AAAAAAAAAAAAAAAAATGAAGGTGAAAGTAAACAAACTTATCCTGAACACACAAAAAAGAAAAAAATAAAAATAAATAAAAATAATATCTTGTGTTAATAATGGGAGATGCTACAGTCTCGTTACGGAACCATTCCGTCTGAATTTGTAATCGTTAAATCATCATGTAACCATCGGAAATAGTTGATCTAACGGTTACAAACCCCAATCGAATAACCCGTTAATAATATGGCATGCATGTTCTCAGCTTTTGGCTAGATAAGTTGTAGTAATTAGGGCGTCTCCAATGGTTGGCTATTTGGCTAACTATTATGACGTGGACAAGGGAAAAGTAAGAGAGAGAGTAGTCACTAGCTACTACAGTAACAAATAGCTTATCTATTTCACGTAGCCCAAGATTATGTGAGAGGAGTATGTGGGTCCAATAGTTTAAAATAGTTATTTTTCTTATCTCTCACATCCACGTCAGCTATCCATATAGCTAGTAATAACTATTACCATTGGAAATGCCCTTAATATTCTGCAGGTGATCACGGGTTTTCTAAATCTCAATTATTGTTCAACTTTTTAGATCCAACAGAAAAGGCAGAATTTGTCTTTATCCAACTAATGTCTTTAAATTACACCAAATTATTACTTTGAGAGTTAATGTATGCATTTTAGTTAGGGAACACTTAGCTGTAGCATACATTTGTTTTTTCTTATTACACGTGTTTGTCTCCACAAGTACAAACTGTACAATGGTAAAAATAATCATCCTTAATTTCATTGGTCTGCTTTACAATATCTCATGGAAAGTATAGGTTTTAGACATTAATCATGTCATATTCTTCCAAAATGGGGGAAGAAAATGCAATTTTAGTCCACTAATTAGTTTTTGGATTTGCCAATTTGGTACACTAGCTTTATTTTATGCCAATTTCACTTAAACGAGAAGAGAATTTTAAAATGATTTGATTTCGTTGATTACGAACACAAAACTTAAATTAGAGTGAAGGTTTTTGTAGTCAGAGCGAGAGAAGGAAAACAAAATAAGAAGTCTTTTATTTTGCTTGAAAAGATCCGAGAATTGGATCTCTTAATTACATTGCGTCGGCAAAGAAAGATTGCCAACTGAAAGTTTTTTGGGGCTTCCATAACGATTCGTCGTGATCGGTGAATAGTATGAAGACCAATACGCAATATAGATAGATCGGGTCAAGAGTTTTGATTCGGCATACATGAGAAAATAAAGTCTCAATGAAATTAATATGAAACAAAATATATTTTGTTTTATATAAAATTGAAACTTTAATTTTTTATTATTTTTATTTTTAATTTTTGGTACAAGGAACTTTAAAAAATTATTAGACTAAAAAGGCACTCTGCATCAGCGTTACGTCAGCCCTAAAAAGTAGTAGTAGTAGTAGTAGTAGTAGTAGTAGTAGTAGTAGTAGTAGTAGTAGTAGTGCGATGCACGGGAACATTTATTACCTACTTACTGTTTAAAAGGTATTATTGTATTTAGATTGTCTCATGGCATTAAAAATATCATGAAAAATAATTTTATATGTTACTAAACACTTCCTTATATACAAAATTATTGATTTGATTCTTTGACATGTAAAGTACTACATATGTGTTTGAATTTTATCTAAAATTGCATATTATTAGTTATTAGTTAACAATTTTTATTAAAAAAAAAAAAATTAAAGGATCTTATTTATTAAACAAAATTATAGTAGAAAAAAAAGTAAAAAGTTTTAGGAATTTTCACCCATTATTTATTTTAAATCTAATTCTAAATTTCAATTAAGGAAAATTGAAAGAATCATTAGTTACTCCTGGAAATAAAACCGATTTTTCTACCAATAAACCGATTTTTTTATCAAACAAATTGATCCGAATATTTTTATAAAACCAAATAAAAAAAATCATCAATTTTTCCTAAAAATGCAACCGAATTTCCCTACATTGCACCGATTTTTTTTACCAAACAAATTGAATTGAAAATAATCCTAATTTTGAAATAATTTTGTTAAATGTTTGTGCAATTGTCTCTTTCCTAAGGAAAATGATATGAACTTAACAAAAAAAATGATATGATTTTACCAAAACCTCGGTAAAAGATGGTTAAGAAAAAACATAAGAATCCAAAAAAATCGGTGCATTAAAATTTTAAAAAGTTGCACACAATTTTTCCTAAATAATTGGCTAAGATGACTTTAGATATCAAAGATGAACCGCTTTTGTTTTCAAAATATGTGGACACAACATTTAATGTACATCCCGTCCAAATATCAGTTTTATTTTAAAATAAACATTGCACGTGGATTTCCAATTTACACTTTTTTTAAAGAAAAAAATAATCAATAAGATTGGAAGAATTAGTTAAAATTATGCATTCATTTGTTTCCTAAATTTGTATCCAATTTGCACGATTTTTAAATTAATATGTATTTAGAGTTATTTTCATAAACAATTGACACATTTTTTTTGCATAAGAATCTCCAATTTTATTACCAAAAAAAAGATATGATTTGAATTTTGGTAAAAAAAAAATAAAATATGATACGAAAAAAATGGGATTCTAATTTTTCCATAAGAATCTCAAAATTTGTTACCAAAAAAATAGGATTCAGATTTTGTTACTAAAGATTTACATGTGTTTTTTCAAACTTTCCATTAATAG